TATATATATATATATATATATATATATATATATATATATATATATACGCACGCTGTTGAGTTTAGATTTGTGAAAATTTACAAATATGCACTGTTCAAGTTTTGTCATTGTGTTGGAGAGAGTAAATGTCATGAATAAATTTGACATTAAACATAATACAAGTTGAAGTGTTGCATCATTTTCAGCCCCCTTTTTGGCATCGGCATTTTGTAGCAGGCCAAATTGACCAAGACCTTGTAGAATAATGTAGTATTTTAATTCCATAGCAGAGAATTGTAGTCTCTGTAAGTAGGTCTAGGGGGGAAAATTATCGGTATTGTTATCGGATATCGGCCAAAAATCCAATATTGTGCATCCCTCCATTATATGTAATTACCATTCAAGCAGCGACATGTAGTTTTGTTTTCTTCTCATGTGTTTACCTTTTAGTTTAAAGTTAGTCTCATCTTGCTTTCTGCCTTGGCGTTTCTAGCAGGAGTCACTTCCTGTGTCTAATCATACTTTGATATGCCATGGCACAAACCTCGTCTCACTCAGAAATGAACAAACAAGGGACCGGGGCGGTGGGGCAGTGGGTGGGGTGTGTGTCTCGAAGCGACCGGAGCTGTTGGTTTTTGTCTGCTCCGCAGCGATACATTTTCTGAACACCCACAGCTTTTTTTTTTTCTCACTGCCTGAGTTCACATTTGCCTCTGCATCCCTGCGAGGAAGAGAAGTTGGACACGACTCAGAGAAGAAGACGTGTGATTCCTGCCACTGCTCTTGCAGTGGGATTCAAGGCGTTCTTCTAATCTTAGCTGGAAGGATGAGGGAGTGAATGGGGAGAGAAGAAACGCTGTGACGATGGTTCTGATTACATTAGAGAGAGACTTGTGTTCATGATTTTCTTTCCCACGTTGCACTGAGTCTACATGAATCATTACTTGAGCCATCAAAGGTTTTATCGTTCTGGAACTCTGTTAAGCTGAACATGTTCTGGTCATATTTATTTTTTTCATTTTGCTCACATTTAGTTGTGTGAACGCTTATGAAGCATTCACACTATTGTGAGCCATTTTTCTTTCATACATTTTTCAGCATTGTTCTCGTTCCACAATGTTTGAGCTCTATCAACAAGTCATGTATCAAAACGTTCAGCTCTTTCAGGAGAAGGGTGCTGTGACTTTTGGTATTGGTGCAACTTTAGCTTTTTTAACATTTAGCCTTTTCTGACACTTTTTCCTCATAGGAAATGAATTGAGCTCATCCTTCATATGATGTGTTTACAACATTTTACTGCTCCTTTCACATTTTGTTCTGGTTCAGCTTCTTTCAGCTTCCTTGAGCAAATAGCAAAAAAAATAAAAAAATCCAGCTACTTTCAGCTGTTTTTTTCCCCCAGTTATTTTGTGCTCCTTTCTGCTTTATTCTGCTCACTACATTTTTTTTGTTAACTTTCTGCTAATTTCAGTTTATTACACTCCTTTCAGCTTATTTCTGAGTTTCAACTGTTTCTGCTGTTTTTATGCTAATTTGAGCTTTTTCAGCCAATTCTACATTTTTTGCACTCGTTTAAACTTATTTCAGACTAATTCAGCAAAAATGTGCTCTCTCCACTTCCATCCATCCATCCATCCATCCATTATCTTTACCCGCTTATTCCATTTTGGGTCACGGGGGTCGCTGGTGCCCATGTCCAGCAATCACTGTGCGAGGGGCGGGGTACACCCTGGACGGGTCGCAAGTCCATCACAGGACCACATAAAGACAAACGAGACAAACAACCATTCACTCTCTCACTCACACCTAGGGACAATTTAGAGTTACCAATCAGCCTAACATGCATGTTTTTGGTCTGTGGGAGGAAACCGGAGCACCCGGAGAAAACCCACGCATGCACAGAGAGAACATGCTCTCTCCACTTAATTCTGGTAATTTAAGCTTCTTTCTGCCCTTTTAGCTACTATTCTGCTGTTTTTTTATTTTAATTTTTTTACAAATTTCTGCGTTTTTCAGATAATATCCACTTTTGTGCTCATTTCTGCTTCTTTAAACGTAATTGGGCACAACTGTGCTCTCTCCACTTTCATCTGGTAATTTAAGCTTCTTGCCTTTTCATCTATTTTTTGCTGATTTCAGCCTTTTTAGCTAATTTACTATGGTTTGTGCTCATTTCTGCTTATTTAAACCACATTCAGCAAATATGTTCTTTCTGCTTTCTTCTGCTAACTTAGGCTTGTTCTTCCATTTCAGCTACATTTCAACATGTTTTTTTTTTTAGCTATTTTCAGCTGTTTTTCCAGCAAGTTCTACACTCACACTGCATTTTAGCAGGAAATGCAGTTTCTTTAGTTAAACCTTACTATTACAGCATAGTGTAGATCCTTGTATACTGTTTCTTTTTTTCTAGTTTATGTTTTTGCTATATTTTGGCGTAACTGGGACCTTGCTCACACAATTTTGTTTCACCTCATGTACAACATGTGATGCGAATGACTATAAAGAACCTTGAAAACTGATACCATTCAACTGTATTATTAGATTTCTGTTATGTCAGTTGGTGTTAAAGTGCAGAAGAGTTTAGTGGTCGGTGTTTACTATGTTTGATTTGAAAAGGATCGGGCTCTAATGTAGCACATGGCATGTAGCAAAGCACAATGTACCTCTCCAGCTTATTGGTCAGAGGATTTCAGTCTAATTTCTGAAACCAAATAGGGAAAAGCTGTCTTTATAAGTGCCTAGCTGCACTATTCTCATGCTGCATCCTGGTCCTTTCACACTTGGCTTGGTGGAGACAGACTAAAATGCTGTGATATGATTTTAGGTCTGCAGAGACTATAGAAATATATATGGAGTGCGCTGAGGGATGTTTCTCAAAGATAAGAGTGTTTTATTGTTGTCAGGTCTGTCTGTCACTGTTTTCCACGCCTCTGCTCTTGGATTGCCTCTGTTCAATCAGTTCGTGTTTTAGACCCGGAGCTATGAAGGTTTAAAAAAAAAAAGGAAGGTACCCATGGGTGGTGGCTTCACGTGTGCAGTCACATGAGACGGAAAGGGGAATTGACCTCCCTGGAGGTTTATTTGTTAGTTAGTTTGTTTTTGTCACTCATATTTCACCTATTGATTGTGTGGAGGCTGCATAAGCAAGGATTTTTTTTTAAACAAATGTTAAAGTTAGCGTGCAGAGCAGAGGTTAGGTGTATGTGTAGGGGTAAATTGGCAGCTCTCGCTTTGAGTAGGTGATTTCAGCGCTACTTTAAAGTGACCTTTTTATCCTACATAAATGCATTTTGATGTTGTTGTTTTTTCTATAGGCGCTGGTATGCTGCTGAATTTGAACATAACTCCCTCTTTCTGTTTTGCCAGATTTGATCCTGAAGGAGTGATGCCGCTGTGATGACCTCAGTTTCCTCCAGGGATTATTCTCCAGTCAGACAAGTTGGACAAGTTCTAGCCTGGATCCAGTTGACAGATTTACGTGATGGACAGGTGATGGAGTCGTCCATCATCTTCGTTCCCCACTGACTAGCCCCGCCAGCCTTTGCTCTCAGGCACAAGTGTGTACCGTCATTGCAAGGGCCCCCATTTTTTTGCCATGGTGACATAAGCGGTGCTGCAACATGAGGAAACGCCAACATCATCGTCTCGTTTTTCCTTCCTCGGTGGCTGCTGCAGCTGCTACGCTAATGCTGCTTAGCTTCACGAGAACAGTTAGTTTGTCGTGAGCGATTCCTGCTCCAGTTTTTTTTATTTTATTTTAGTAGTTTTTAAATTTATTTGTGGTTTTGTTTTTTTTAAATACACACACACAGAGAGAGACTGTCCACTTGGCGTGTTGCTGGGCCGGTGGGGCGGAGCGGTGTGGTGTGAGACGATGCTGGGATGTGTGTCACGCCTCCGCCGGCTGGTCCGCCTCCTTCCCCTGCAGACCTCCCTGCTCCTCCTCTTCATCTTCTGCACCGTCAGCGTCTTCATCTTCTCCTACTACCTCTATGGCGTTAAGCGGGAGCCCGAGCCGTCAGGAGGGGGCATGTCCGGGTCCGAGGGACTTCCCCCAGACTTGGATTACCCGAGGGTCATTCCGTCCCGGTTGTTACCCATACGAAGTGTCCCAGGGGCTAATGGGGTGGATCTCGGAGGGACCAGGACAGATCCTGTGGTTCTGGTGTTTGTGGAAAGCCAATATTCTCAACTGGGGCAGGAGATCGTGGCCATCTTGGAGTCGGGCCGCTTCAAGTATCGGACCGAGATCTCTCCTGGGAAGGGGGACATGCCTACACTGACGGACAAAGAGCGAGGGCGTTTTACGCTTGTGATTTACGAGAACATCCTCAAGTATGTGAACTTGGACGCCTGGAACCGAGAGCTGCTGGATAAATACTGCGTGGAGTACGGAGTGGGCATCATTGGCTTCTTCAAGGTTAGGACAACACAGCCCTCCCCATGTCTCCCTCCCTCCCCTCTCTCACACCTTCTGGCCTGTCCATCTGGCTCCACCATCTCTAAAGAGATGGGATTCACACAGTTGGCATGACCTGCCTGGTTTTATATCACATGGTTTTATATCACATAGTTTCTTTGCACTGACTTGTTTCTTTTCTGTTCTCTTTATGTCTGTTTTCTTCTTTTGTTCCTCAATCTGGCCTCCTTAAAACTCTTCTTCCCCAGTTTGTTAACTCCCTTTTGTGGGGGTTTTTCTGCTGTCTCTAGTTTTTCTAGGGGTTTTTTTTTTTGTCCTCCACTTCTTTCTCACTCGATATCTCTTATTCTGCCTCTCCTCTCTCACAGTTTTCCCTGGAGGCCTCAGTCTGCCTAAGGCCAGTTTTCAGGTCTTATGGTTTTAATCACCCTATCTGAGCTGCAGAGAGAATATAGAACGAGACGTGTAGGCATGGATGGTGCAGTGTATATGTTGGGTGGTGCAGATGAAGGTTAGTCTGGTGGGATTTACTGCCTGTTGGGAGAGAAGGAAAGATGTGCATCCCAATGGCCCAGTAACACCAGTCTGTGCTTTGGGGACTGTTTGAAACACAACATAATGGAGCGTCCTCACAAATCATTTCATTCGTTGGATTAATAGTAACGTCCAAGAGCTGAGTCAGCATAAACTGCCTGACAAGCTACAACTTTTCTAGAATTACTAGTCTGTTTTTGAACAGTAGTAAATTATCTTTGGGACACATAGGCCAGTTTATAATTAAATAGCTGTAAGGGTGTGCTTTAATACATTTGTTTCCTAAAATAAGTTTTTTTTTCTTCCCAACTGTCTAAAATTATGCTCATTATTGCTTCTTTACATTTTCTAATTCTTTTACAGAATAATTTTAAATGTATGCCGCAGAGGCGCATTCTCTTGACCTTCATGGTCTGAGAGATTCCAGCTATAAAACAAAGAGTGCAGTTTAATTTTCTCTTTATTTGACTTGCAGTACATTTTATGTAACACTAAAACACCCGAACACCTTCTGTATCTCGAGACGTCTTATTACCATTTTAAATCATTTGAAACAAAGTTTCTTTGTTTGTACTCAATGTAGGAAACAAGATCGCACTATTTTCTACTGCAGACTTCTTTTTATAATCAATCAAGATTTTTATGGTAGGATGTAATTTTATACAAAGAGCTTGAATGTATATTTCATGTGTGAGTAATAGACTTAATTATACATGAAAAATGTATTGGACCCTGTTTGTAGGAAATTAAAAATAACATGTTTTACAGTTTTTATCTGTGATACTGAAAGAAAAATAACATTAAAAGGAAACTGGTTGATTTTAGCAGTGATTAGCACATTTCCACTTTCTGTAGTGGGACTATCGCCAGTGTAAGAATCAAGCCAGTATTCAGTGACAACAGAAAAGCTGCACAGTTTGTTTTTTTTTATTAAATTTTCGCATATTTTTCCAGGGGTGTCCAATCCTGGTCTTCGAGGGCCTCTATCCTGCAAGTTTTACTTGTTTCCCTGCTCCAACACACCTGATTGTTCTGCAGAAGCCTGTTAATCGTTCCAAGTCATTCAAATCAGCTGTGTTGGTGCAGAGAAACATCTAAAACACGCAGGATGGTGGTCCTGGAGGGACCAGGGTTGGACACCCCAGCACTAATCGTCACATTATAAACATCAGTAAGTAAGACTACTGCACATTTAAGTTCATGCTCAACAATCCAGGTAAAAAAAATCCAACAAAGTTAAGTCAGGTCCTCTGGATGGTTTCTTTGTGTTGAAATGTTTCTTCTTTCATCCAAAGGACTTCATCAGCCTGAGGAACCACAACTAACTGTCCCATAAGCAGCACACTACATAGTGGGCCAAACAGGTTGATGGTGATAAAATGGTTTCTGGTGTCTGCCCTCTCCCCCGTCGTCTCCTCTGAGGCAGCCATAGTCAAAGTGGTTCAAAACATCAAAGTTCATGGTCAATAATCTAGGTAGAAAATCCAACAAAGTTCAGTCAGCTCATCTGGACTGATGAAGTCTTTTGGATGAAAGACGAAACGTTTCAACACAAAGAAACCGTCCAGAGGACCTGACTGAACTTTGTTGGACTAGGTCATCTGGACAGTTTCTTTTTTTGTGCTGAAACGTTTCGCCTTCGATCCAGAAGGCTTCATCAGTCAAGGAAACATACAACAAAACTGATTCTTCCCCCAACAGCTTTCTCCAAAGTGGAACAAACCAGTTCTGCTTGTGATAAGATGGTCTCTTTGGTATGCCCCTCCTTCATAGCCGGACGTCTTCCTTGTTGACAGTCTTGTCAAATTGGTTGAAAACAACAAAGTCCATGCTCAATAATCCAGGTATACAATCCAAGATTTTTCAGTCAGATCATCTTTCGCCTTCGATCGAAGGCGAAACGTTTCAGCTTAAAAAAAGAAACTGTCCAGATGACCTGACTGAAAAATCTTGGATTTATTACCTGGATTATTGAGCATGGACTTTGTTGTTTGTTGGACTACTACACATTTTTTATTCTTTTTGATGAGATCACCGGCAAACACAGTCAAAGTCAACAATGGAACAATGTTTTGTCTTTTTCTTGTTTGAACAGAGGCGCTTTAATGGCCCCAAAATTATAATTTTTGCCAACAGGTTCCAGATTTTTTCTAAAAAAAAAAACTTTCAACACCATCCTTGTATTTATTTTTTTTTAAAGACCCCCTTTTCATAAAACAAAACAATCTTGGGACAAAAAGGACCAGTTTCTGTTAATGCTAAAGAAAAAAGATCTACAGTAAACATCACATATGCATAAATAAGAAGTTTTACATAGGGATAGTTAAAAAACAACGTGTATAAATACAATGAGTCTGGTGAACAGCTTGAATATCTCCTCTTGCTGGATCCTTGGCCTGAAAAGTGTCCAACATGTCCACATGTTTGGACTGACACAACTTCCAGTCAACACGTTCCTGAACTATGCGTTGTTGTAGTTTGTTGTGACTCGAAGTAGAAGTTCCTGTTTGTCTTAGGCCCACACAGTTTCTGTTCTTTTTGCTTTTGCATTGCGTTACCACAGCGTTTTGGGTGGTTTTCTGCATTTCCGTTTGGATTAAGCTTTTTCTAAAAACTGTTGTATATTAACAGACATTTTTAGACTCAACAAAGGAATTGTTTTTGAAAAACAGCAATTATGTGTTTAAAAAAAAAAAAAGAAAGGTGTAAAACCGAGGTGGACTGTAAGAATCTCCGATGACTGGATTTGTTGGGGAAACTGCCGAGTCTTTACTGAACCCCAAGTCTCATAGCAGCAGGATGTTTTTGTTTTTTCACTCTAAACTTGTAGCGTAACAGATTGAGCAAAGCAGGTTGGAGCTCCCTCATGCCTTCACGTTTGAGTAGGCCCGACATTCCTTATTTCACACATGACGAGAGAAATCAGGAAATGATATGCAACAAATTTCAGTCTTATCAGTGTGCTGTGTAATGAATGTGTTGTCTGTTTGTGTTGAACAGGCCAATGAAAACAGTCTGCTCAGTGCCCAGCTCAAAGGCTTCCCCCTCTTTCTTCACTCCAACTTGGGTCTGAAGGACTGCACTGTCAACCCAAAGTCCCCACTTCTCTTCATCACCCGAGCCGGCCAGTCCCTGCCAGGTCCACTGCCCGGGGACGACTGGACCGTGTTCCAGTCTAACCACTCTACGTACGAGCCCGTGTTGATGGCCAAGACCCAATCGGCGGAGAGCGTTGCGTCGATAGGGCAGCACGCTGCAATGCTCCCATCGGTGGTGCAGGACCTGGGGCTGCATGACGGCATCCAAAGGGTCCTGTTTGGCAACAATTTGAACTTCTGGCTGCACAAGCTGGTGTTTGTAGACGCTGTGGCCTTTCTGACTGGGAAGAGGCTCTCTTTGTCCCTGGAGCGCTACATCCTCGTGGATATAGATGATATATTTGTGGGCAAGGAGGGCACCCGCATGAAGGTGCCCGATGTGAAGGTGAGTTTGAGCATGTTCCTGCACGTTTACAAAGGAAAGACTAGAATAGAACAAGACTGCTTCTCCGATCACTAATAAGAGCAAAAGGCCTCACGTGGCGCCGTTCTTCCAGTCGCGCAGAGACGTCTTCTCGCTGCGCTTTTTCCTTTTCAATGCGTTCGTCCCAGTAGTCTGCTCAAAGCTGACAGGCCGACCGCTCGCTCTGTCACAGAAACTCTACAGCGATGAATATTTTAGGGGCTCGGCGGCAGACAAAGAATGTTGAAAAGCTCCGTGCGTTCGTCCCCTCAGAGCAGAAAAGGCTCCCCTCGCGTGCGGAGGCAGAGAGGGTAAGAAAAAGTTCTGGTGGCGGCATCAAGGCCTCCTCAGCGCAACGGCAAGCTTTTAGGAACGGATCGCACCCTGACAAGACGGTGTGAGGGGGCGACGACGATGAGGACGGGTGGCGGCGTGCGAGCAGGGAGTCTCATCCAGCACTGAGATCAAATGAAACAAACACAGGAATCAGAGAGAAGCAGAATATCAAACGGAATGAAGGAGCGGAGCGAGGCAGCTGGGAGAGGGTGCTGGATGTTTACCAAGAGAAACGTGCTAAATTAAAGATATATGTGGGCCTCTGTGTTGACGCCGCCTCATTGAGGCCCGTGCGCAGCAGTATGAGCCCATCAGCGGTTGACTCGTTCTTCTTTCCTCCCACTGCTCCAGGCCCTGCAGGAGACGCAGAGGGAGCTGCGCACCTATGTGCCCAACTTCACCTTCAATCTGGGCTTCTCAGGGAAGTTCTTTCACGCTGGTAAGATGCAGTCCGTGAAAAAAAGAACACTTAAAAAAGGTTACACTTCTAAGATGTCAAAGTTAATTACTGCTCTTATCTTCTGCCGTGCCCCAACTGTTTCTCACCTTTTTCTTGAATTTGAACTTTGCTGACTTTCGTTTCCTCTCTTTTTTTCCCCTCACTGGTCCCATTTCTATCCTTCTCTTTCCAACTTTTTTTGTTTTTTTCCATTTTTATCTCTTTCAATTTCCTTCTTTCTTTCCCCCTGCCCACTTTGTTTCCGTCTTTCTTCAATCTGTCTCTTGCACACTCACCCTGGCGGTTTCAGGCTCTGATGAGGAGGACCTGGGAGACGACCTGCTGCTTTCCCACGTGAAGGATTTCTGGTGGTTTCCTCACATGTGGAGCCACATGCAGCCCCATTTATTCCACAACCAGTCCGTGCTGGCCGAGCAGATGTTGCTCAACAAGAAATTTGCCATGGTGAGTCATGGTGGGGACAAAGGTCCCATCACAGAGTTGACAGCGCTTTGATCTGAGCCATGTTGTTTATCTCCGTGCAGAACATTTCTGGCAGTTTCATTATTTAGTTTGGTTTATTTCCTAGTTTATACATAAAGCAAATATTCTGTTATCCCATTGTGTCCATTTTGGCCCTTGTTTTGCGCAAACAGCAACTAAACATGGAAAAAATTAGTTTTAACATTCATCCTGGTACACGTTGTTCAATTAATGGGCAGGTACACGAAGAACCAGCCAAGAACCAGCGAAGCTTCGGCTTCCTGTTTCAAAGTTGTGTTTAACAGCTCAGCATGCTGTTATGAGAGAAATGAAAGCCTACATTTACAGACTTGTAGTTTTATGTGAGGATGCAGCAGTGGTTGTGCACATTCCCTCAGGTGACCACGCTGTTACAGAATCGTGCTTTTAAGTGACTAACGCTGACGGCAGGAAAGGCGTTTTACGTGACATTTTGCTGCTTCCATCCGATGCTTGTGCGTTCCACACAGTCACCGTGTGTTTTGGCAGCCTGATATGACTCGTTATAAGGATGCAACATGCTGTTGTTGTCAGACATCTGTGACATTTTAAGGACTTGAGTGAGATTTTTCACTTTTACTGCGCAGTACCACAAACAATGGGCTCTCTGTCACTTTCACAGCGTGCCTGAACAAAGCCACGAGCAACGTTAACACTAATGTTAACATCCGTCCATTATCTTTACTAGGGGTGCAAATCTCTGTGTCTGGTGATTCGATTCAGATTTTTGGTGTCACGATTCGATTCAAAATCGTTTTTTTGATTCAGAAACGATTTTTCTATTGAAATGGTCACAAATTTAGTTTCAGTGATGAAACTGACGAGCTGAAAAGAATAAACGACATTGCAAACAAATAGAACATTTATTTAAAACAATAATTTTAGGTTCCTTACTGTATCATATCTTTTTGTATCATTTTATATTTATACCAAAAATAGGAACAAATAATATTGGAGTGCATAAAATTCTGTAACTTAAATTACCAGTATTAGGTTAGCTCAGCTGCCTGGATTTCTCTAAAAAAAATAATCTAGGAACAAATCATCCATCCATCAGCTTTACCCACTTCTTCCTTTTTGGGTTGGGGGGGACACTGGTGCCCATATCCAGCAGTTACTGTACAAAAGGTGGGGAGCACCCTGGACAGGTCTCCAATCCATCACAGGGACACGCCGCTAAAATTAACAAGATTTTTTTTTTTTAATAATATTTTCAAAGGGTCGTTCACATCTCTTGAAATGGGACCCTGTGGAAAGGTTTAGGAGCAATGAATATCTTACCTGTGGTAGATGGCTTCTATGTTTGAAAAACGAGTTTACTTCTGACCAGACTGGCGAGCTAACAGCTCGATCAATAAGTCAGAGATTAAAGTGAACTGCAGCCATCTTAAAATTACTATAGATTTTTAAATTGTAGTAACAGAACGCTGGTCCGTTTTGCATTACGTGACTATTTACGTGCAATTCAATGGTTAATAGTGAGTGTAAGTAGCAGCAGCTAGCTGTAGGACTTTGTGCAGCCTGGGCAGCTTCAGGCAGGAGTATCATATTTCTGCCTCCTCAGTTTGGAGAAATGGAGTTGATTTCTGGTCACACCGAAGAGCTAACAGTTAGCTTGAGAGAAAATAAAGCTAACATGGATTTCTGAGGTCATAAATTAATTAATAAAATTTTATTCTGATGCCAGTTTAATGCTTCAGTTATTCTATTTTCTCTCAAGCTAACTGTTAGCTCTTCAGTCTGACCAGAAATTAACTCCATTTCTCCAAACTGAGGTGGTTCCAAAAGCCATCTGCTGCAGGTAGGATATTAAATGCTCATAACCTTTCAACAGAACCCCACTTCAAACAACCAGAACTAGCCTGAAAACTGGTTCTGTTTGTGTTGTAGCAAAGTAAATGTGTATTTTTTTTGGTAAATTAAACGTAGGTTCAGCTTTAAGCCAGCTCCTCGTACTACAGTAAAGAAATAGAAGCTAGATAAATGTCGGTGCTGAGGAGTATGAGATTAGCAGACGGTTGACAGCAGCTTTCCGCGGTGCGTTTCCGCCTTCTATTACTCCCTCGCGAAAATAAAAAAGTAACATACTTCAAAACTTATAATTTGTAGAGGCATTTTAATGAAATGTTCCATCTGCTCTAATGGTGTTTCCACACAGTTTCTGCAGAAGCTTCACTGTTTTATTTTATTTCATCTTTGAGCTCGTCTCTTTATTGGCTTTTAATGCAAACCAGAAGCAACAAAAAATGCTTGTAGAGACATTAAGGAAGTCATATTGCACTTTTGTATAAATTCCTTATTTTGAGGGACGCTTACTAAAAGGTGTTTGTAACAAAAAGATCTACACGTATTTGCATACATATGGAAGTATCCTTTTACCTTTTGTCTGTTTTTGCCTCTGTTTGGTTTAAGTCCTCATAAAGTCTAGCTGACTGGTGGATAATAGCAACGTGCAGAACAGCTACTTATTCTGTGTGAAGCTGTATGAGCTACAAAGCAGAAATTATGTAAATGTCTTAAAGTTGTATCGAGTAGAAAACTAAAAGTCTAGTCTGCTAATGAGGTATTTCAGGTGTTTACGACGAAAAATAACGTCTTTTTCATGAAGTCTTTGGCCAGATTAAATTCGTTAAACAACACAAAGGGAGAAAAACAGCATAATGTGCCTTTTTAAGAAACTGGTACTTAAGAAATGACTGTATGGATGCTCCAAATGCTGCGCAGATGTAACTGCTGCCATCTTCTTCTTGTCTGTCCTGTCAGACGAGGACGTGCAGTTGTTCATCACATCGTCTTATGTTAGCTGTTATCATATGAAAGAGGGGCTGATTCTGTGGCTTCTACACAACCTTTAGAGCTCTGCGGGTAAATGTGACTGTTGCAGCCTTGATAAACATTGAGGCGTGCATCATTTAGATGAAACTGATCTGGATTGCTCGCGTCGTTGTTTTCTCTGCGAGCCTCTTGTGCTTGTTCAGGGGGTGCAGGTCCGGCTGAGGAGTGACGGGCTCCACGGCTGCTTTTAGACAAAATAAGGGGTTCTGATTTTAACACCCAGGGACCTGACAGACGGGGATGAATCATGCAGTATTTTGATGCTTTCTCACTCATTTTTCTTGCCCCCCTTTGTGTGTGTGTTTTCACCTCCAGGAGCATGGGATCCCCACTAACATGGGCTACGCGGTGGCTCCTCATCACTCGGGGGTTTACCCCGTACACATACAGCTGTACGACGCCTGGAAGAAGGTGTGGGGCATCAAGGTGACGAGCACCGAGGAGTACCCGCACCTAAAGCCCGCTCGCTTCAGGCGAGGCTTCATCCACAGCGGCATCAGTGTAAGCTTTCATTGTGTGAATGTTTATGAAGCATTCACTCTGTTGTGATCCATTTTTCTTCTGTACGTTGTTCAGCATCTTTCTCGTTCCACAATTTTTGTGCTATTTCAACAAGCCATAAATCAAAACGTTCAGCTCTTTCAGGACAATCCTATGACTTTTGGTATTGGTGCATCTTTAGCTTATTGAAATATTTAGCCTTTTCTGCCATTTTTTTCCTCATAGAAAATGAATTGAGCTCATTTTACATCCTTCAAATCTTTAGATCTGTTTATAATCTTTTACTGCTCCTTTCACATTTTGTTCTGGTTCAGCTTCTTTCAGCTTCCTGGTGCAAATTTAAACTTTTTTTTCTAGCTACTTTCAGCTAATTTCAGCCGTTTTCTGCTCCTTTCAGACTTTTTTTTTTTGTTGCAAGTTTCAGCTTTTTCTACTATTTCAGCTACTATTTAGCTGTTTATGCTAATTTAAGTCTTTTCAGCTAATACCAACTTTTTTGGCACTCATTTTAACTTTTTTCTGCCAAATTCAGCAAAAATGTGCTCTCTCCATCTCCTGGTAATTTAAGCTTCTTTATGCCTTTTCAGCTACTTTTCACCAGTTTTTTATTTTATTTCTTGTTGCTAATTTCAGCTTTTTTCAGATAATTTCCACTTTTTTGTGCTAATTTCTGCTTCTTTCAGCCTAATTGAGCAAACATGTTTTTTCTGCTTTCTTCTGCTAGTTTAAGCTTGTTCTACATATTCAGCTACCCTTTAAGCATTTTTTGCTAATCTCAGCTGTTTTCAGATAAACTCAAGTTTTTATGGTAATTTCTAATTCCCTAATTAACATCTTTCTGCGCATTTCTGCTTTTTTTTCTGCTAGCTTCAGCTTTTTCTGCTATTTCAACTACTATTTAGCTGTTTTATGCTAATCTTAGCTTTTTCAGCTAATTCCACATTTTTTAGCTAATTTCAGCTCTTTCTGTTTGTTTAAGCTTTCTTCCCTGCCTTTTCAGCAGGTTTTTTTGTTATTTTCAGCTTTTTTAGCTAATTTTCTAATTTTTTGCTCATTTCTGCCTGTTAATACTAATTCAGCAAATCTGTGTTCTTTCTTCTGTTAATTTAGGCCTGTTCTTCCATGTCAGCTACATGTCAGCATGTTTTTAGCTAATCTCAGCTGTTTTTCATCAAGTCCTTCAGCAATAAGTATACACACTACATTTTCACAGGAAATGCGATTTCTCTAGTTTCATTTATCTTTAGGCCGTAGCCTTGTTTTCTCTCTACCTTTAACCTGTTCCATCCACCTTCTCTGCTATTTTTTTTCTGTCTACATTTTTTCACCTTCTCTACCCAGCTCAACCTCCACTGGATTTTCTTCAGCTTGCTTTTAATTTGTCAGCCTACATATTACTTCATGCTGGATGTGCTTTTCTTTTGCCTGTTTCCTCTTGATGATGAGGGAGAATTTAATTTTACATCAAACAAAAAACCTTCTTGAAAGATTTCAAGAGTCTTTAAACGTTATACAAAATATACAGTTTAATGGTCTTTGGGCCACATTTACAGGAAATATTTGTGCTTGGACATCAGAAATTGACTAAACAATTTAGAGTGTATGAACTTGAGTTTAGACTTTTAAATGTAAAATGTTTAGGAACTCAATTTAAACAAAAAGTGGTCCCACTCATCTGTGCTGCAGGGTTGTTGTTGTTTCCAGTGGTTCCCAACCCTGCTCCTTGAGGAACACCATCCTGCATGCTTTAGTTGTTTCCCTGCTCCAACACACCTGATTCAGTGATTTAATTACTTCCTCTCATTCTGTGGAAGCCTATTAATCACGTGTTTATTAAAATCAGGTGTGTCTTAGCAGGAAACGACTAAAACATGCAAATGGTGTTCCTCAAGGACCAGAGTTGGGAACCCCTTTATTCCATCGACTATGAGATGATTATGTAGTCAAGGGAACCAGCACAAGACACCTGTCTGCGTTCTGCTGCCAAGCAGGCTTCAGCAGAAAAAAACAAAACAAAATAAAAACGGACACCCTGGCCTCGGCGAAGTAGGTGACTGCACAGAACCAATCACTGAAATGTCAACACGCAAAGAAACTTTATTCAGCTTCACGGCCGTCACTGCTTCTGAACAAAGCTTGTTTGGATCGATTCAGGAGGTTTAGAAAGATTACAAATAAAAACTCGTATCTGTTTCTCCTGCAGCTTGACCTTCAGCACAGATAAGCGGCGTCGCCTCGGTCCGGTCTCTTTGTAGTCCCGGCGTTCGGTCGGCGGGCCTGCGTGGTCTCAGTTCTCGTCTCGTCCTTGAGATACCGCGGGCTGAATGGACCTCGTTCACTGCTTACTGATGATTGATATTCAGCTCCCCAGACACTCCAAACTGTACATGCATTTCCATGAATTTCCATATAGACTCTGAGAAAAGAAGAGGTTTGCTTTGGCTAGATGAGCAGAATAATAATATTATTGTGAAGAAACAATGTGTGGGGGAACCGCCTGGAGGACTGACAGCTCCGCTCCGCTCTCAGCGGAGGGCGGACGTTCTGTTTGTCTGAGCATGTTCTGTGTGTGTCTTTTTGAGTTTTGTTGACTGAATGTGTGTGTGCTCTTCTTGCAGGTATTGCCCAGACAGACGTGTGGTCTCTTCACACACACCATCTTCTATAAAGACTACCCAGGCAGTCCAAATGAACTGGACAAGCTCATCAATGGGGGGGAACTCTTCCTCACAGTTCTGCTGAACCCTGTGAGTCACTTACTCCCCCCGCACAGCGCAGCTTTTGTCTTGCATACTTGGAGTCTCATTTAGCTAATGGCACAAATTGAAATTTAAACAAGGCGGGGGACAATGACTCGATGGTGAGTCACGCAGCGATGTGTGCGCCTCGCTTTCTCTTTTTGCATTAACCTAAAAGCTTCTTCTAATGGAGCCCAAATATAACGCTGCAGCTTTCTTGTATGTCAACAGAGTTTTGTTTGCTTTTACATAAAAGCTTACCTCTATTGTGATCTCTGCAGAGGCTGCAGATAACTGTTCCTATTACTGAATGGCTTTTCACAACAAAAGCTGTGGTAATGTTTGTTTCAGCTGTTTCATTGCATCTGATATTTCTCTGCAACCGACGTTTTATGTTTACAGTAGTCCCTCACTACTTCGCTATTCGTTTTTCGCAGACTCGCTCTATTGCGGTTTTTAAAAATAAGACTGGACATGATACACAATTGACTGATTGATGGATGAGCCGCATGACCGGCATGGAATTTTTGTTTAAAATGAATTATTTTCAATTATTTAGCACCTCCTGCACCTTTGTGCAGCCCATACTGGAAGATTAACTTCCTCCTGCAGCTGATCAACTGTTCACTGTGCAGAGCAGAGAAGTGGGCGTGGCCAAGAGAGTTTACAGATGGCTGAAAGCAGCGGAGGCACAGAGAGGGAAATCATGACATTCTGTGCTCTTTTAGAGCGTTTAGAGTTTAAAAACATTGTTTAGAATATTGCAAGAGCGCTGGAAGGGTTTAAAACACCTTTATATATATCTATCTATCTATAGATAGATAGATATAGATATAGATAGATAGATTGATAGATATTGATAGATATTGATAGAAATAGATAGATTGATAGATATAGATAGATTGATAGATAGATAGATTGATAGATATAGATAGATAGATATTGATAGATAGATATTGATAGATATTGATAGATAGATTGATAGATATTGATATTGATAGATTGATATTGATAGATTGATATTGATAGATATTGATAGATAGATATCTATCTATCTATATATAGAGATGGACAGATAGATGGATAGATAGATAGATAGATATCTATATCTATCTATCTATATATAGAGATGGATAGATAGATAGATAGATATCGTACTTGGTGGATTTTCACTTATCACGGGGCTTCAGGGTACGAATCCTCTGCAATAAGCGAGGGACTACTGTACCTCTAAATCAGTCATGTCAAACTGGTTCAAAACACCAAAGTCCATCCTCAATAATCCAGATAGTATAATCCTGATGAAGCCCTTCGGATGGAGGGCAAAATATCTCAGCACAAAAAAGAAACCGTCCAGATGACCTGACTGAACATTGTTGGATTTTATACCTGGATTATTGAGCATGGACTTTGGTGTTTTGAACCAGTTTGACATGACTGCTCTAAATGATCATTAGTTTATAGACTTTTAACTTGGTTGCCAGGGTAAAGAGGTAGAATAGTTACCATATTTTTCGGACTATAAGGTGCACATAATATCCTTTAATGTTCTCAAAAATTCACAGTGCACCTCATGTATTAATTCTGTTTGTGCTTACTGACCTCAAACTGATTTTATTTGGTTATTGTGATGAGTTGAATAAAGTTTGACTTATCTGACTGTTTTGTTTCGCTTAATGCGCCTTATATATGAAAACAGACCTGTTCATTGATATTGCGCCTTATAATCCGGTGCGCCCTATAGTCCAAAAAATACGGTATAAAAAGGAAAAAAATTTGAAGGTGCCTTTATTGAGGGAGGAATTATTGAGCAATCTACTTGTTTTCTTGATTTATTAGTCATTTTTTTGTGTCGAAAACTAGCTTAAAATTTATTTGGATATAAAAAGATAAACTCTCGCTTGAGTAGCTAGTCTCTTTCAGGGGTGTCACACTCCGTTACAAAAGGGGCCAAAATTAAAAACTCATTTCAAACCAAGAGTTAATTTCAGTCAGTACATGAACTCTAGTCAGATACTTGATGTATTTTCTTGGTTGCAGGTTCCTCAATAAGTTTCATTGGTTTTATTTGACGTTCTGATGCTTTTTCCATATCAGAATCAAAGATTACTGAAACAATTTAACAATTCTGTCTTGACTTCAACGTTGGTTTACCGTCATCAGAGGTTTCAATAAATAAAGCATGCTCCGTTTTTTTAAATAAATTGGGAAGTGGTAAGAATTTGCTTTTAAAGTAGAATAGTGAGGGCCAGATAAGATGTTAACAAGGGCCATATTTGGCCCTCGGACCTTGAGTTGGACACGTGGTCCAAACGGTTTAAGCTAATGTTCTAATCAAGAGTAAACACAAACTGTTCAATAAAATGTTTTTCCGCCAGTTCCCAAAGTTGACATTTCCTTTTGTGGCTTGTTGTTTTCTGCTCAGATCAGTATTTTTATGACCCATTTGTCCAACTACGGGAACGACCGCCTCGGCCTGTACACCTTCAAAAGCCTGGTGATGTTCGTGAAGTCGTGGACCAACCTGAAGATGCAGACCCTGCCTCCGATCCAGCTGGCCCAGAAATACTTCAGCCTGTTCCCCTCTGAGAGAGAGCCCCTCTGGCAGGTCAGGCTCAGAACCACAAGTTCTTCAAACAAACGTTGACTTTCTGTTTTCCTCAGAGCCTTTCCTTTTGCAAACTGTCACCTGTTGAAGCTTTGAGCTCACCTGTCCTCCCTCTTCCTCTGGTTGTTTACTTGTTTAGTAGAATATTTAGACAAACGCAGCCAGAACAGAAGTTTATTTCTGTATTTCATTTGTGGGGTGGACTTGCAGGATCCTTGTGAGGACAAAAGACACAAGGACATCTGGTCCAAAGAGAAAACGTGTGACCGCTTCCCCAAGCTGCTGGTTATTGGGCCTCAGAAGACAGGTAAGATGGCGCTTTGCCTCCCCATGCTGGACAGAGCCAGAAATGATCAGATGGGGGTATTGATAATTTAAAGCAGAAGTTGTGCCATAAATCCTGCACTACAATAAACACTTGAATGTTTCTGTCTGCACCTGACCTGTTTTAGACCTTAATTGCTGGTATTTTTATATTCTCTGTTGTTTTTTTATATATCTTGTGTGATTCGTTGTGTGTGTTCATTTGAAACTGAAACTCTGGCACAACAATTTCCTGCAGGTTCAATAAAGTTCTATCTTATCTTATAAATGATGTTGAACTGATTTATTTTTAAAATCCGAGTTGAATAATTTTTTTTTTTTTTACCATTAACTGTTTTCTTTTCTGCCTGTTTTTGTTTTTAAAATTGCCCTAAAACTCACTTAGGTTTATTCTTCTTCTCTTTGTCTTGCTGATCATCACGACCCATGTTCTCAGGAACAACAGCGCTCTTCTTGTTCCTTGGGATGCACCCTGACCTGACCAGCAACTACCCCAGCAAGGAGACGTTTGAGGAGATCCAGTTCTTCAACGGACACAACTATCATCGAGGCATTGACTGGTAGGCCACTTTAGACTCACATTTTTCTTAAACCCTGAAATTATTTAGTTCTACAAGCAAGTCAAGGAACCATATTATTGAGGTATCTGTGGTTTAAATTTATTTAAAGTTGCACCAAAGCAGAGCTTCATGTGCTACAACCAAGAAGTTCTGCCACACAAATTTGACTTTGCAATCAAGATTGTGTTGTTGTTTGTGTGCAGAGAACCAGGCTGTTGTGAAACTGGGCTTTAACCCACACTGGGAACAGAAAAGCGTTCTGCATTGATTAAGTGAACCTGATGAGCTCTGGCTGCATAAACATTTGTTGTGCGTGTTTGTTGTGTGTCAGGTATATGGACTACTTCCCTCTGCCCTCCAACACCAGTTCAGACTACTACTTTGAGAAGAGTGCCAACTACTTTGACTCTGAGGTGGCTGCTCAGAGGGCGGCAGCTCTCCTCCCCAAAGCGAAGATCATCACCATCCTCATCAACCCGGCGGACAGAGCGTACTCGTGGTACCAGGTCTGTCCGAGCAGCGGGGCTGCAACTTTTAAACCGGAGTAGGTGCAGATTTATTTTACGATTCTTTTTATTTTATTCGTCCACAGCACCAAAGGGCCCACGATGACCCAGTGGCTCTCAAATACTCCTTCCATGAAGTCATCGCTGCAGGCCGCGATGCTCCCGTCAAACTACGGATCCTTCAGAATCGGTGTCTGGTCCCAGGATGGTACGCCATCCACCTTGACCGCTGGCTCAATCTCTACCACTCCAGTCAGGTAAACGTCTTCATGCGTGCAGTCATAAAATATAACTTATCTTAATGGATTCACTAAAGTTGCTGTAACTCTGTTCTCTGATCCGAGTGGGAAAATAAATAAAACTCTGTCCTCTAAAGGGACAGATTAAGATTCAAGGCAGGAGTTGGTAGTTAGAGAGGCTCATTCTTTCCTTTGTGTTCGTCACCAAGAGGATTTTAAATCCTGATGACCTTGGCGGATGAGATCTGCTCTTTTAGGAGCGCACACAAGGCTGCGCAAGTGAGCGATGATTAGGTGTGAGTCAAGTGTCACTAAGCTTCTTCTTTTCTTAAGCAAGTGTTTAGATTTAGAAAGGCTGTAGTGTTATTTCTCCAATTAAGTATACCCATCATTTCTATTTGAATTCCATCGCAGCATCTGTGTGCTCACTTTGTTTTATCCTCTTCGTTCCTTCTCCTCCACACACGTTTGTTACTTTTCTTTCACAGCTTGGATAATGAAGCGTTGAAAAGTTTGGATATAAAATGATTATAAACAGTCACAGGAAGATTGACATTTTAAAGCTTGTAGAGCAGAAATAATCCATATTGTAATGGTGGGAGGTATCAGCTACTTGTTATTTTAATCTCTAGTGGGTTTTATTGATTCTCATTCACCAGCGCTCAGTTTCCAGGAAATTTCTGTCAGCAGTTTTCACGGATTAACGATGATGGATGTAAAGTTTGTGGCTCTTTGATTTTGCTTCCTAATGAGCCGGTGCAATAAACTGACAGTCTATAAACATTTATAGACTAAACTTACTCTTTTGCTTTGTTTCCAAAAGTACTTTTGCGTCTAACATTCGATACTTGACTGAAGAGTTGTTCCTTTATAGCAAGAAACAGCGAAGCTGTAGCATAAGAATAAAAGGAGAATAAAAAATGATGTTTTTAATTGACAGAATATATCTGTTTATAGTTATGAGTACAAACAGAATTTATGTTACAGACGTTTGTTTTTTCATACACAGCTGTCCTGTTCTGATGTCTGGCTTTGTGTCTTGACCCAGGTGTTGGTTTTGGACGGACAAATGCTGAAAAGTGAGCCCGCCTCAGTCATGGATAAAATTCAGAAGTTTCTTGGCCTCCCAAACGTCATCAACTACCACAAGATCTTAGCGTAAGCATCCCCGTCACACAACGTAGTTTTACTTTGAACTGACAAGTTTAAAAACTGAAGCAAAAATCCACAAAGTAGGAAAAGTATTACAAGTAGTAGTTTATTTTAGTATTTATATATACATATATTAAGGCGTTTTAAACTCTTCCCACACTCTTGCAACATTCTAAACAATGTTTCTAAACTCTAAAAGAGCACAGAATGTCAGGATTTCAGCTCTCTGCCTCCTCTGCTCTTTGCCACCTGCAAGCGCTCTTGGCCACGCCCTCTTCTCCGCTCTGCACAGAGAACAGCTGATCAGCTGCAGCAGAAAATTTATCCTGCAGTATAGGCTGCAGAAAGGTGCAGGAGGTGCTAGATAATTTAAAATAATTTATTTTAAATAAAAATTCCATGCCGATCGTGTGTCTCATCCATCATTCAGCAAATTGTGTGTCGTGTCCAATCTTATTTTGAAAAACCGCGATAGAGCGAGGCTGCGATCAACGAACCGCGAAGTAGCGAGGGCTACATCGTCTACATCGTTTTTTTGTTTGTTTTTGTGTGAATGCATAGCAACTTATAAAAGTTTTTTTTATTTTTTTTATTTTTATTGTCCCTGTCATGGAGCAAGAAAGGGGAATTTGAAATGCCCTCCGTCTGCCCGTGAATGTTGTGAAGGCGATAACTTGGAAAAATAAATGAGTTACTGACTTCCATTTTGATGTGGCTGCATCGAGACGTAAGAAAGGTTCCTATCGAAAATTGGGTGCCACGTCAAAATCCAAGATGGCCACCATACATGTAAAGTGGCTGCCCCGTCACTTGAATAAACTAGCCTTTCTCATTTTAAAAATAATTATAAGTAAAGTTTCCTCTGATTTGGGTGACTGGTTGGGTGGCCCAAGATTAATCCAAGTTGACCAAGGCCACCATTGGCCACCCCCTGGCACTGCACTTGGTGGTGGATAAAATAGCTCCCTCTGCTCGCTGGATCCATCACTCTGCGCCGCCTCAAACAAGAGAACCTGCCTCTGTCCTTCTACACAATGGTGCATCAAAAACATTCAGGTTGACTTGAATTCCCTGTTCAGTTCCAGTCCAGAAAAACATCTACCAAAAATAACAAACTACAAACATTAACTATTTAAATCCACTCGCCCTGAGCCTGGTTCTGCTGGAGGTTTCTTCCTATTAAAAGGGAGTTTTTCTTTTCCACTGTCGCCTTTGTGCTTGCTCAGAATGGGAAACTGAGATGAAGTGAAGATTCAACACAATCTGCTGCTTCCTTAGAGAATTTTTACTAATGGGATTATAATTCATTTTTTTTATTATTATTATTGTTATTATAATGTATGTGAATGTTTCTGTTCAGTGCCCTGAGACAACTTCTGTTGTGACTCTGTGCTATATAAATCAACTGAATTGAATTGAAATTAAATCCTTCAGCGATGGGACATCAGCTTGTTTACCATCATAATGTAATGTTTCTAACTGGGATTTTTATATTTTTCACTGGTCCAATGGATCAACATGGAGGAGGATTCATGCATTCTGGCTGTAAAGCTGAGCTCACCTTTGACCAGTTTCCACTTTATAATCCTTTCAAAATAATTGTCAGGAGAGGGAGTGTGTTGGCAATGTGTTGGAAAAATGTAACATTAGGAAACAACGTGACTCCTCACTAATAAGTGCCAATTATTGGGGGGGGGGGGGGGGGATGGTCGTATTTTATTTTTATTTGTCCATTTAATTAGAGTTTTAATATTAAAAAATCCCTGTCTTACTGACCTCAGTCACTGACTGTTAGCCACATGCATCGATTTGCTCACATCTTCCTGTGTCGATTGAACAAGCAAATTGTTGGGCACTGTATCTTTTTAGGAAACATTTTAACATGGGATTTAGTGAAGTGAAAGATTGATTCATTGATCGTCAGATTAAAATTAATTTGTATTTTGTCTTTTTTTTTTTGGTTATATATGACAGCAAGCAGTTTATATTTACAGCATCTGTGGTTCCTCTTCCATGGAATTGGCCGTTTTCTCAGTTTCTACCGAAGCCCAGATGGACACACCAAACACAGACCCACTGTAGTGTTTCCTAAACCTTTGTAAGAGAAGTGTCTGGCTTGAGGCGTTTCATTTTGTTGCTTCTTGCAGATTTGCTGTCGGGTGTCACTAAATACACCCGACCATTGATCCCTGAGTGGTGAGGAAAAATAGTTTTGAGACAAACTGAGAAACGGTTTCTTCTTTCAGCCGATCAGTGAAAATACAGACACGAAAAAGGAGAAGACAAAAGGGAACATTTGTTCATAGTAATTTTAGAAGTAGCTTCCTAATTTAGTGTTTCTGTCATTAAAAAAATATATTTTTTTTTCTAACATGCAGGTTTGACCCCAAGAAGGGCTTCTGGTGTCAGCTGCTGGAGGGAGGGAAGACCAAGTGTTTGGGAAAGAGTAAAGGACGCAGGTACCCTGATATGGTCCCTGAGGTATGACTTAAAATACTTATTAATGTTTTAATTAGCTTAGAGTTTGTTTACTACATCTAGATTCATGTGAACCGGTTGTCTCTTTCAGTCCCAGGAGTTCCTCAGGGAGTACTACAGGGATCACAACATTGAGCTGTCCAAGCTGCTCTACAGGATCGGTCAGCCGTTACCCAGCTGGCTCAGAGAGGAGCTGATCCACACCAGGTAGCAGCACCTTGGCAGAGGAAGACCACAGCTCCTCACACTGAACCACCGCTCCACCCTGCAGGGCTCTCCGACCACATAGCCTGAAACGGTGAAGATCTCCGGGTGTTTTTGACAAACTGGAGTGTACAGAGATCCGAAGATGGGAGACCCAAATAGGAACTCGAAACGCAACCGCGATCTTCCAAAACGGGCCGAGCCAGGAACACGTCATCCGAAACATTTCAGTTGTTGAGACTCGGTGACGCACACGAGGGAGCCTTCAGTGTTTGATGATCGCCTCGTTCTCCATCATCAAACTTTCATCATCACATGAACTCAGCGTGGGATATCCAGGAGACGGAGGATGAAAACGATGTGATGAAAACATAATCACGTGTCCACACCTGTGAGCGTGTGGCGCTTGTTTTTTTGTTTTTTTTTAAGAACACGTCAACAAGTAACTTGATGAAAGGCAGCGTACTGACCAGGAACTTTGATCCAAGCTACTTGTGATGAAGGCGTTTGTATGAGAGTGAAGCAGGGCGTGTGGAGTCTCGACTCTGGCTGCATCTTGTAGCCTTACTTGATAGGCCTTGGTAGAATCTAGTTATTACATTTACAAGTGCCAGGACAGAATCTTCATTCAACTATCACCACATGGACTTTTGAGGGTTCTTCTTTTTAACTTTCCGTTTAGTTTTCTTTGTTCTGATTTAACATTTTTTTAAGCTTGATGGAAATGCATAGAATGTACCAAACCTAAACATGTTCACTGTTTTCACACGCATAGAAGAAGAAGGAAAAAAAAAAGCAGGGCGTGCAGTTCGGTCTTTTTTAACTGTTTTTGTCCGTTTCGTGAATGGGCTACAGGAAGGACGGGAAGAAGAGATGCTGGAAGCACAAAGACACTCACGGGAGCGTCGCCTCTGAACGTCCAGATAAACAGAAAGCACACTAACTAACTGGGTCCTGCTACGATCTGTGAAGAGAATCATAAGCTAGCTACTGCACGTTTGTTCAGCACTCTGGTCCTGCAGATTCAGATCAGTGTACAGAAGAAGAAAGTGCATTTCAAAAAGTTTTTTTTTTTTTTGTCAAAACTGTATATTTTTGTTTATAGTTGTTTTTTTTTTTTTTTTATTCTATTTTAATTTACTAGACAAGTTTTAAATTGGGGGGGATTAAAGGAAAGTTGCCAGAATAACTTTACAGAAACATGCAGATGGTTGGTGTGTCGGTCACGTTACCATCACATCTGGATGTCAAGCATCGGTAACAAAAAAAGCTGCTCTAACTGCAATAGTTTGTACATTGTTCTGATGTAACGATGCACACAGGTCGTCATTTCCTGACTTTGTAATGTACATAATGCGAAACCCTGAGTAGACCTAAATTATTGAATGTGTTTGGGTTTGCGCTCCATCCGCCTGTTCTATCGTGACACATCAGCGCTGCACCGGGGGCAGTTTGGACTCTTTATCAGTCAAACGTGTCGCTAAGTGTTTCCTCTCACTGCCAACTGTTGTACAAAAAGAAAAAGTGCAGAATTTCTCCATATAAAGTATTAACACATAACAGCAACGATGGTACTAATCTCCAGGACTGTATGATAAAGATTTGTAATTGTTGTCAATAATTTTTACAGTGTAACTAATATTGTCGGTGCTTTTTAATTTGCAAATAAAACACCACTGTATTTTTCAGTAGCTGGCTCTCTTTCACCTTTTTCTTATCAACTGTTAAGTGACGATCAGGAAATATATGGAGAATTATGTAGTTGTTTTAAAACAATAAGTTTACTTAAGTCTAAACTCTTAAACTGTAGTTTAAGGGTGTTCTCGTCCAGATTTGAGAACGGGCCTAAAAGTTGCATTTTAAGCACAAGTTCAAATATTTATTTAAGCAGGAAAATCCCACTGAAATCACAGTTTTCTGAGCTGGGCCTGAAGGCAGCCTGAACATGCATGTTTTTTTTTTTTTTTCTTTTGCCTGAGGGAGAAAACCCAAGAACACCACAGAAATACCCCAGGCCCAACTCGGGACTTGAACCTAGGACGTTGTTGCTGTGAGGCAACAGTGCTAACCACTAATTCACTGTGCTTCCAACTTTCATGTTCTGTGGCAACTTTATAACCATTATCTTGTCTCAAAGTTCATGCTCAATAATCCAGGTAAAGAATCCGACGTTCAGTCAGGTCATCTGGATGGTTGTTTTTTTTTATTGTTGATGTTTCATCCAAAGGACTTCATCAGTCTGAGGAGCCACAACAAACTCAGTCCCACAAGCAGCACACTCGCATAGTGGACCAACCAGTTTGCTGGTGATAAGATGGTTTCTGGGGCCCGCCCTCTCCCCTGTTGACTCCATCGTTTTTATTTACATTCAGCATCTAAAATCTGAATCAAATATTGAAATTAGCTTTTCAGTTCTAGAGCTACGCCGCTCGGGAGGCTGCATGTTGGAGTAGCTCTGTTACATTCAAAGTTATTACTTTTGAAAACTTTAATTCCTCTTTTTTTTCCTGGATGTAAATTGCTTTTTTTCGATTGTTTCCTCTGGTGTCAGATGATGTGCAGATGGAAGGATTTTTACTGAAACTTTTTTACTTTTGAACATTTATGATGCGTAACCATGGCAACAAGGTGTTTTTTAACAACCAGGAGCAGCTGATTAACATCTCAAAAGTGCATTTACTTCAGCTACAGCTCCAAATCCCAAATTGGTTGAAAAGGAGGTGCCGTGGACGAATCCCCATCAACCTGGCAGCGGTGCTTGAGTACCTGACTGCCGAGATCCTGGAGCTGGTGGGAAGCGCGGCTCGTGACAACAGGAGGACTATCCCCCGGCATCTGTTCATGGTGACGAGGAGCTTGGAAGACTGCTGGGAGGAATGACCATCGCTCAGGGAGGAATTCTGTCCGGCATCCGGTCAGTCCTGCTGCCCAGTAGGAGAGAGAGGTCCGCCGGATCTGACAGCAAGCTGGTAGGTAGATGGATCAGTATCTGTGGCCATATTTTTTGGATTCACTGCAGGAGATCCTTCCTGCCCACAGCTATCAGCATCTATCAACTCTTGAATGAAACCAGGATGAGCTACGACAATTGTTCAGGCTCCAGAATTGCGCCGTTCTTGGTGGCAGAATGTTGGAGTAGATCTCTTAGATTCATTCTGAGATTTTGCTTTTGAAAACTTTAATTACAATTTTTTTCTGGATGTAAATCACTTTTTTCAGTTAATTACTTCCTCTGATATCAGATGCTGTGTCGCTAGAAGAATTTTTACTGAAACCTTTTTCACATTTGGACATTTGTTATGCGTAACCATGACAACAAGGTGGTTTTCTACAACTGGGAGCTGCTGATTACCATCTCAAAAGCTCAAATAAGACCTCATCTACAGCCCCAAATCCCAAATGAGTTGAAAAGGAGGTGTCATGGATGCATTACCGTCTACCTGGAGGCTGTGCTCGAGTGCCTGACCACAGATATCTCGGAGGTAGCGGGAAACACGGCTTGTGACAGCGGGAGGACCAAGATCGTCCCCTGGCACCTGCAGTAAAGTCTGCAGCAACGAGGGGCTCGGCAGGCTGCTGCAAGGCTATTGCTCGAGGAGGAGTTCTGCCAGCATTCAGACAGTCCTGCTGCCCAAGAAGATGATTGGTCTGCTGGGTCTGCGTTGACGGATCGGCATCTGAAGCCAGTTTCTTCAGATCTGTTGTGGGACAGACTGCTACAAGAAATCCTTCCTGCCCAAAGCCATCGGCATCTAGAACAACTCTAATGAAACAAGATGAGCTACAACAACAATTAATTTCCCTTTGGGATCAATAAAGTATTTTTGAATTGAATTGAACTAAAGTACCTGTAAAGTCCCTTTAAGTACTTCAGGCTTTTATTTATTGGAAAATTAACTTTAATTTGTTTTAGCTGAAAACCAATTAGAAGTTTGGTCAAAAATTAATTTATATATTGACATATTCATCTTTTTAGTAGTCATTATATTGGAAATTTTAAGCAAACAAAATCAGTACAGATGTTTCTGAACTTTTTCCTGTTCTTGTCAACTGGTCTGACAGGTTTGTGTTTTTTTATTTTTATTTTCATTTCTCTTCAGTGGGGGATCTCTGCGAGAAGTGATCCTTACTCATTTCCACAAAATCTCATAATGATTTGGTTTATTAGAAAATGAAATGAACTCTAAACTTTTAAAAAATTACTAATTTTTTATTGTATGCGCAAACGTCCTCGTCAAGCTTGTACAGTCGTTTCCTTGTCTTGGAAAACACCAAAAAGCCACCCAGTTTTTGTTGTTTTGTGACGTAAACAGTGGATAAAATATTAAAAGATTAATAATCCAATAAAATGTAACAAATACCAATAAATGTTAAGGTGTTTTTTGTTAATTTTTTTTTTTTTTAAATAAAACTTTATAAAATTGGAAAGACAAGTGAATTTGAAGATAAATTACTTTTCAAATTATTCCAGTGTTGTACAGCTATAGATGTTTTGGTTTTTATTAGTTCTCATGCTTTCTTTTAAGAGAAAACATTTGAAATTGTGTGGCAAAAGTAAAGTATTTCTCAGGGACAATTAAAACTAAAGTAAAATATATTGCACAAAGCATGTTGGCACTTGGCACAAACAATAAAAACATCAGACCAAAAAAAAAACTAAACAGAACCCCAGGCATGCCTGACATGAACTAACTCAGGCTCTTCTTGCTGTAATCTGCCTCTAGCAACACGTGATGCTGATAAATCTGACCAATCAGAGCTCAGATCCCGCCCACTCATTTTTAGAGTTTAATTTTTTTCAAACAGTGATGCTGTCAGAGAAACTTTCTGGAACCTGGTTACTTAGTGCTCCTTCCTCATTCTGTGGATGATATCTGCTTTCCAGAAGCTGAACCGTTCCTCAGTTTGTTTTTGTTGGAGAACTTGAGACATACCTCCGGCAGGGATGACCGACGGTTCAGATGATGCTCCCCAGGAGAGACGCAGCCTGGCGGGCAGTGAAGAAGCCCTGGTGGCCCCTGGAGCTCCGAGAGGGTGAGGGGAAGCTAGCATTTATTTATTTATTTATTTATTTCCCTCAAACTGAGCATTAAACAGCTTGTGCTATGTGGCGAGTTTTAGTTATTATTTTAGATTTTTTTTAATTATACTTAAGCTTTTATTACTTATATCCGTTAATATTTTACATATACATTAGCTAGTTTTAGGAGTATCAAAATATTCGCTGGACTGACTGAATAATTCAGTATGTCTGCCTAACAACTAGTGACGTCACTTCTACTGGTCAAAGTTTACCTTTTGATTATTAAAACTTTATTAACTTCTTTACACCATATGTCTCAAATAGTTGTGTTAAAAGTCCCACAGTCCCACACTGGGGAACTGGATTTTGGACTTCTTGATCAACAGATCTCAAACTGTCAGGATCCACATCGTCTTCTCCTCCATCACCCTCAGCACTGGCTCGCCCCAGGGCTGTGTGCTGAGCCCCCTCCTGTTCACTCTGCTGACATATGACTGCTCGGCTAGACGCCCCAGCTGTCATATAGGGAAGTTTGCAGATGACACAACAGTAGTGGGACACATCATGAACAATGATGAGTCTAAATACAGAGAGAAGGTGGAACATCTGGTACAGTGGTGCAGAGACAATAATCTCTGCATCATTGTGAAGAAAACCAAGGAGATGGTGGGGGATTTCAGAAGGGACAAGGATCCTCTTCATCCCCTACACATAGGAGGAGCAGCTGTGGAGGTGGTCTCCTGCTACAGGTATCTGGGGGTGCATATATCCAATGACCTCACCTGGAGAGCCAACACTTCCCGTCTAGTCAAGAAGACCCACCAGCATCTACTTCCTCAGGAAGATGCGGAGAGCTGGACTTGGGAGCTCTCTCCTGAGGAGCTTCTATTGCTGTGTGGTGGAGAGCGTTCTCTGCAACTGCATCACCGTGTGGCACGGCAGCTGCACTGCTGCTGAGAAGATGGCTCTGCAGAGGGTGGTTAAGGCTGCACAGAAGACTGTGGGGAGCAGCCTTTCCACCACCTCGGACATCTACACTTCACAATGCAGGGGGAGGGTGCTCCGATCATGAAGGACTCCACTCATCCTGCACAGTCTGTTCCAGCCCCTCTCCTCAAGCAGGTGGCTGAGGAGCATTCAGGGCAAGACCACCAGGCTCAGAAACAGTTTCTTTCCTGCAGTTGTCAGACTGCTGAACTTGAGCTGCAATTAATTCTGCTTCATCATACATTTTTTTAACTTATGTATGTATGTATATATATATATAATTTACACAAACCGGATTCCAAAAAAGTTGGGACACTAAACAAATTGTGAATGAAAACTGAATGCAATGATGTGGAGGTGCCAACATCTAATATTTTATTCAGAATAGAACACAAATCACAGATCAAAAGTTTAAACTGAGAGAATGTATCATTTTAAGGGAAAAATCTGTTGTTTTCAAATTTCATGGCGTCAACAAATCCCCCAAAAATTGGGACAAGTTCATTTTTAACCACTGGGTGGCATCCCCCCTTCTTCTTACAACACTCAACAGACGTCTGGGGACAGAGGAGACCAGTTTCTCAAGTGTAGGAATAGGAATGCTCTCCCATTCATGTCTAATACAGGCCTCTAACTGTTCAATCGTCTTGGGCCTTCTTTGTCGCACCTTCCTCTTTATGATGCGCCAAATGTTCTCTATAGGTGAAAGATCTGGACTGCAGGCTGGCCATTTCAGTACCCGGATCCTTCTCCTACATAGCCATGATGTTGTGATTGCTGCAGAATGTGGTCTGGCATTATCGTGTTGAAAAATGCAGGGTCTTCCCTGAAAGAGATGACGTCTAGATGGGAGCATATGTTGTTCTAGAACCTGAACATAGTTCTCTGCATTATTGGTGCCTTTCCAGACATGCAAGCTGCCCATCCCACAAGCGCTCATGCAACCACATACCATCAGTGATGCAGGCTTCTGAACGGAGCGTTGATAACAACTTGGGCTATCCTTGTCCTCTCTGGTCCGGATGACATGGCGTCCCAGTGTTCCATAAAGAACTTCAAATCGTGACTCATCTGACCACAGAACAGTCTTCCATTTTGCCACACTCCATTTTAAAAGACCCCTGGCCCAGTGCAAACGTATGAGCTTGTGGAGCTTGCTTAGAAATGGCTTCCTCTTTGCACTGTAGAGTTTCAGCTGGCAACGGCGGATGGCACGGTGGATTGTGTTCACTGACAATGCTTTCTGGAAGTATTCCTGAGCCCATTCTGTTATTTCCTTGACAGTGGCATTCCTGTTTGAGGTGCAGTGACGTTTAAGGGCCCGGAGATCACGAGCATCCAGTAGATCACAAGCATCCAGTAGAGTTTTACGGCCTTGACCCTTACGCACAGCGATTGTTCCAGATTCTCTGAATCTTTTGATGATGTTATGCACGGTTGATGATGATAACTTAAAAGTCTTTGCTATTTTATGCTGGGTAACACCATTCCGGTATTGCTGCACTATCTTTCTGCGCAACAATGGTGGAATTGGTGATCCTCTTACCATCTTGGCTTCTGAGAGACACTGACACTCTGAGAAGCTCTTTTTATACCCAATCATGTTGTCAATTGACCTAATTAGTGTTAATTGGTCTTCCAGCTGTTCGTTATATGCTCAATTTCCTTTTTCCAGCCACTTATTGCTACTTGTCCCAACTTTTTTGAGATTTGTTGACACAGTGAAATTTTGAATCAACATATTTTTCCTTTAAAATGTTACATTTACTCAGATTAAACTTTTGATCTGTCATCTATGTTATATTACAAATAAAATATTGACATTGCCATCTCCACATCATTGCATTCAGTTTTTATTCACAATTTGTTTTATTTATATATATATATATATATATATATGTATATGGATGGATGGATATGGATATTTATATACTCATTAATTATTTGACTTCTTGATCTGGGCTCTGAGTCTGAATTTCATACCATAAACATGCAAATGTGAGCTGGTATGAGAAAAAAATCATTGAATTCTAAAAATTCAGAAGTGTTGTAGCAGCAGGTGTAATCTGCCTGGTAACAAATGATGCTCACATGCTATTGGCTGGAACAGCAGGACAAAAAGAGTAAACGTTAGGCTTTTTCTCAGTATTTCTTTTTGTAACATTGCCAACCACAGTCATATTGATAATAATATTGTTTCTGTTTATTACTCATATTGTTTTCTGAACTTTGGTTATAAGGTGTTCCACATTAGTGGCAAAGGAAGCAATTTATAAAGTAATTCATCAAGGGAAGAAAATATAAAAAAACGAACAAATACAGCATTAAAATGGGCAACAATGTCAGCAACATGTATGTACATAAAGGAACAGTAAATTAAAAATGGGTTATTGACTCTCAAAAATAAATTACCAAGATTGCTTTATAGTGCTTTCCCATGTAATCTTTAGTTAAAAAATAAATAAAAAAACAGAAATAAATAATTAAAACTTGTAACTTTGTGCAAAAGAATAAGTGACCCAGTGTTAAACCAATACTTTTAGCATGCCTTTTCATGGACACTGATTGTATTAATATTTATTTTCCTTCTCTTCCATTTAATGTAAAAAACAAGCAACAAATTCATCCATCCATCATCTTTACCCACTTCTTCCTTTTTGGGTTGGGGGTGTCATTGGTGCTGAAGTCCAGCCATCACTGTGTGAGAGGCAGGGGACACCCTGGACAGGTCCATCACAGGGACGCAGAGACAAACGAGACAAACAACCATTCACTCTCTCTCTCTCTCACACCTAGGAACAATTTAGAGTTACCAATCAGCCTAACATGGATGTTTTTGGTCTGTGGGAGGAAACTGGAGTACCCAGAGAAAACCCACGCATGCACAGGGAGAACATGAAAGCTCCACCCAGAAAGGCCCCCGGCCGGGATTTGAACTGGGGCGACCTGTTTGCTGAGCGGCAACAGCTCTACCAACTGATCCACTGTTCCACCCACAACAAATTCATATTATTTTATTATTATTATTATTATTATTAATAAATTTGTCTGAATCTTTAGTGCACATATTCTTACAGAATATATCTTTATCCTTGTATGATTTTGAATTGGCACCAGCTCATGTGATTTTAATACTAGATGAAAATTATGATTATTACGGTAGTTTTTTTTCTCAGTTGTCATCTTGCATAGGCTAGCTATAATTTTCTCCCTATTGATTTTGTTTTATTTATTCCTAAATTTTATTGCGTTAGGCACACGCTCATGCGCTCTTAGTTTCTTCCACACCAGCATTTACTGACAGAGTGTAAATAAATAGCATGGATGTGTTTCCTCTCTAGTTTTGTTGTCTTATTTCATTGTTTTTGTTGACAAATTCTCCATATGTGTTTGTAACGTAAATGAATGAATTAAAAAAATGTTTAACTCAGTGACAGAGGAAGGGAGACACGGGTGTTATTTCTGAAGTTTTCCCAACAGAACATTTTTGTTAGTGTGTTGGGTACGTGTTAGTCAACACACTGGGTCTATTTTTGTCCAGGACTGTCCAGAGTCAGTTTGAAAGAGTCCTGTTAACATCTTCACACACCATGATTTTTAAGAAAAATCCCCCCTTGGTCACTTTAATAAGCTCAGTAAGTAGGAGGGTAAAATCCCACGTCTAATTTCTCTTCCCTTCATGTTGCCTGTTGTTGCCAGTCCCACCCTCTCAGTCAGACTGTCCTCCTGTTCCTGCTGTTTTATCTTCTTTAAGAGATTATATTTCTCTGCCTCCATACTTCAGAGGCTCCAACAGCCGGGCCTTGAAGATTGCAGGCCTCACCACGCTGGCGTGTCTGCTTTTAGCCAGCCAGGTCTTCACAGCGTACATGGTGTTTGATCAGAAGCAGCAGATCCACACGCTGCAGAGGAACTCTGAGAGGATGGAGAAACAGCTGACGCGCGCATCTCGTGGTAAAAAATAAATAAAAATTACGTGTGTGCATCTGTGTATGTGTGTGTGGTGGTTTGGGTGGAGGAAGAAGTGAAAATAGTTTTTTTAAGTTGTTCTTAAAACTAGATGGAGAAATTAAAACATTTCTTGTAATAAATTAATTGAGCGGTGATCTCTGATCAGGGCTTAATTTGAGCCGGGAACGCTCTTATTTGACAGGGTGCGTTCCGGTAACTGTTTGCTTGGATCCGGTAAGGCTTACTAATAATAAAGTTATGAACAAAACTGACTGTCTTGAACAAATAAAACTTATATTGAATATGTAATCTGAAAATAATTACCAGTACATAAACACTAATTTTAAATATAACAGCCACTTACGAGCTTCTTAATATCACATACACGCTGCCAGCCGCTTCAAGTAAAGCATTTCCGCCTCTACCCTTAAAAAAATCTCCGCCCCTAAAAGTCTAAAGTCATTGCAGATTTTTATTTTTTTTAAAAATCAAAAATGTTATTAAACAGCACAACTAAATTTCAAATCAGTTGTACAGTTTAAGTGGGTTATTAATAAAATTTTGATTATTTCTTAAAAATACGAGAGAAATGTTTGATGGGTAGTCACGTTATGTACGGTGCATCACGTAACGGTGCCAATTTGTCAAAATAACAGCAATCAAAAAGTCGAAAAGACGGTCCGATTTACTTTGATTTAAAAAGTCTTCTCATTGTACAACTAAACTACCGAGAACTGAAGCACGTGAAGGCAGTGGCAATGAAGATAGTAATCGACAAGCGGAGCATGCTCTATTCATACAAGGAGTGAGACTTATGTAAGTAAACATAGATGTTAAAATACACAAGAATGCAGGAAATGGCATCTACTTTATTCAAAATTTTCTGGAGGAGGAACCCCCCAACACTCCCACCCCACCCACACTAGCTATTTGCGTTCCAGCATCGTTTGGGTTACAAATTAAGCGCTGCCTCTGAGGTAAGCTTAGTAGTTCCAGCAGTTGATAATTTATCCTAAAATGTTGCTTTTGTGGTTAAAAAACATTAAAAACAATGTCCAGATGTCCAAAACGATCAGAACCAATATCAGGTTGGTTGCTGCTAATCCGTTCTGCTGCCACTTAGTTTTGCCCAGCTTCACTCGTGTTTGCATAACTTGTTTTCATGTTGAGCTTTGTTTCGAGGTTTGTCTGATAAAACGATAAGTTTCATGGCTGACTTTGACTGGGGTGGGTTTGTTCTTGCTGTTTTACAGTTGTGGGCCCGGCGAGGATGGCCATCCCCATGAGCAGCCTGCCTCTGCTGACAGAGTTCACCGAAGTGGACACTGAAAAACCTGAGACACCCCTGACTGTAAGTTCATGGCCACACATCAGAAAAACCTCATGTCTTATAGTTGTATCAGATACATTTAAAGCTTGTTAATCTGCATCATATGACTCCTCTGCTCCGGTCAGAACATACAGGATGTTGCTGTCGTCAGCGTGGAGAAACAGCTGATGGATCTTATGAAGGTATGCTGCGTTTAAACCCGTTGCATGGCTTTGTTTTGTGCATCGATTGGCTGCCGTAGCTGAGCCTTGACTTGTCGTGAGCAGGACTTCAGTCTGCCGCGGTTCAACGAGACCTTCCTGACCAACCTGCAGAAACTGAAGCAGCAGGTCAATGACAGCGAGTGGAAGGTGAAGCTGCACGTTAGTGGAAACTAATGAAATTAAAATCAAACGGAACAAAGCTTCTAACTGTCTGTTTAACTCGTCGCCCTCTGCAGAGCTTTGAGTCGTGGATGCGCCATTGGCTGATCTTCCAGATGGCCCAGCAAGAGCCAGCATCCCCCTCCCCTCAGCCAGGTTTCTGTTCTTTTTAGTATTTAATGCATTTTTACATGCAGTTGTGGTCAAAAGTTTGCATTCACTCATCACTGGCATGAATGTCTTATTAATTTGGAGGCTTGGGTGATTCATTCATTTTGGAATGAGAACATTCAACTTTACTGATTTTTAAAAACAAGAAATGGTGCACAAGTTTGAACTCAATGTGGATATTTTTCTTATCCACACAGAGTTTAAATTATAAATTATACATTTGGGCTCTAATATATGCATACCCCCCCCCCCCTCCTAATATTCGGCTAAATGTTCATTAGCAGGTTCAAGTTCAAGATTCTTTATTGTCATTAACATCACATATGGTACATGAGGTGGAACTAAATTGTGTACTCGAGGTCCCAGGTCCAACTGAGGTTGCACCACTGTTTTGTACCCATCAACAAGTTTCTGGTGTAATGCTGGTCGCCCAACTTGGCAGAACTGCCAGAGTTAGATACTTAAGTTGTTTTCCTGGGACAGAAATGGCTTTAAAGTATTGTCCAAGAAATTTCAATAGGGTTCAAGTCAGTCCACTAACATTTGCTTGTTCTTTTAGAAACCAGTTTGGCCAATCAGCACAATCTTTGTCCCATCTGACCATAAAACTTTGGTCCAGAAGGCGTTTGGCTTTTCCATCAAGCTTGAGGAAGCTGGGGCTTATACAGTAGTTCCTTGATTATCGCAGGGGTTACATTCCAAACACCACCGCGATAGATGAAAAACTACAAAATAGGAACACTATATTTATATTAGTGTTTATATAAATATTTTAAGGTTTTATAAAGCCTTCCCACACTCTTGTAATGTTCTAAACTCTTAAACTTACGTCATTTTAACAACATACATATATGTAATGTACAGTACAACAATATTTTACTCACCAGCTCTGCAGAACAGCAGCTCGATTCTGGTCGGGCTTGGGTCCGGTCCTACAGACCTACCTCGCAGCGACGAAGCCCACCGCCCCACCAGGTTGATGTGCACGTGGATAGCTTCAGGATTATTTGTAGCTTTCCTTCCAATTCTGTGAACTTAATAGATAGCATAGATTTGCATTGCAAAACTTTCCCTCCATTTCGGCAGAAAGCGGCCAGAAGCACTTCTGACTTCTGGGTAGTGTAGTTTTGATCTGCGTCACAATATAGGCTTATTGAAAGAAAACTACAAATTGGTGGCGCCTGTCCGAAGTATATATTTTTTGTTAACTTTTAATTTCGTACTGTCCCAATCACGTGAATAATAAAGTTGACAATCGTTGGAAAAGGCAAGAAAGAGCGAGTCTGCGAAAGTCGAACCGCAAAGTAGTGAGGGACTACTGTAACTGGGTCAGCACACCTTCAGATCATGGTGAATAAATTCAAACTTGTGCACCCAGTTCTGGCTTTTTAAAAACCCACTGAGTTTGCGTGTTGGATAATCAATCTGCTGTGGAAACACTCCAACAGCACAGTCAGCAGTGATTACTCTGTAACTGTTCAATGTTCGGACAGCCTCTCTGATAAAGACCAAATGCCAGATGGAGGCGTCGCCCACGTCACACAGGATCGGGACCTTTAAGCCCCGGTGTGATGAGCAGGGTCGCTACCTGCCCACGCAGTGCTTTAGCGGCACTGGCTACTGCTGGTGTGTGGACGAGTTCGGCAACCCCATCCAGGGCAGCCAGAAACGCGGAAGCCCCGACTGTCGCAGAGGTAGCAGACGCACACAAACAAAATCTTTGAATCTGAAAACTATTACAAGCAAGCTGACCTGTTTTGTGTTTGCAGGTGCAGTTTTTCCTCGCACAATGGCCCTACCCAGCCTCATGCAGGCAACCTCTCTTGATGATGGTGCGTTATTAATTTTTTCTTATTGTACTGCCGCCACATTTGCAAGGATCTTCGTTGTAATACATCATGTTTGTTGTTTTGCAGGGAAAAAATAAGTTGAACATGGAGCAAGGCGTTTCTTCTTTCCACCCAATCTCAGACGTGTGAAGTTGGGTATTTAAAATTAGATGCTGATGGACTTTCACCTTTTAATGCACTCCCATGTAATCATCTTATTATTCCTGCTGGCTGCTTCAATCCATTCAGAAGAGACTTGTTACAACTGTGCTTTTAACATGGATAATTTTAGTCTTTTTTTAATTACAGATTTAATTTGGGTGTTTTCATTTAAGCAACATTCAATATAATAAACTGTGAGTGTTTTATGTGTTTGTATTTTTAAATGGTCGGTTCACTGGACGTGTCCACTTTTACCAGTCTGGATTTGAGTCTTTCAGCCTTTTGATTTTAGCGACCTGTTTAACGTCATGAAGAGAAAGTGGGCGTTTGTGAGATAAATAGTAAAAATCATATTTAGGAATGAAAGCATGAACAGTCTGCTGTAACTCTGATACTTCACAGAGACCAGTCTTCACAGGTCGGAGGATTCTTCAAAGTTAAAGGGAATTATTTTGTTTAGTTCTCATAAATGGGTGAACCGACCTTTTTTAAAGGATGTAAACACGAGAGAGGCTCTTCTATCATGTATGTATGAAGAAGTTCAAATAAAGTTTTCTCTACAACACTCCATGGTTCACACATGTCCTGTTGTCCACAGATGAAATGATTATTAGAGCTGGTGATGAAATGAGGTCTGAATAAACTCAAGTCTGACTTGATTCATTCACTCTGAGCGCTCAGTCCTGGTTCTGGTTGACGTCTTATTTTTTGAGCTCCACTTGTTGTATCAGCACTTGTGAAAATTGGAACTTGAATTTTATCAGTAAATTACAGTATTAGAGCTAATGCCACCAATTTTTACCCTAAAATAGATTGGAATGTCCTTAATTAGTATTTAATCACCTATAATTATGTAAATTAAACCACTGAACTGCCTTTATTATAAAAAGAACAGTGGTGTTTGGCCCAGGTAGCCTTGTGGGAAGTGTGTGTGTGAGAGGGCTTTCACACTGCAGGACTTTAGACTCATTTACTAACGGTATGTTTTTCAGTGACTCTCTGCTACTACCACACCATATTTGATTAGCTGTGGCAGTCAGCTTCAGTTTTAAGACATGCATCTAATCATTAATTTCTTAGAGCTTCGTTAAAATCTGTCCGTTGGGTCATGAGATATTTTGCTAACAGGCAGAACACATACACGATTGCCCACCTTTTCTTGCAGAAACCAACAGGTGTTAAAATATTTGCTTATCATAAATCCCCTCGAGTTGCTGAAACGTTTTTTTTCCATTCAGATTTTAAAATCTTATATTTTGTAAAACACATTTTCAAAACTTAAAACATTCATTATTTTACATTCAGACATTTCAGATTCCATTCAAACCTCCTATTGTACTTTTTTGGGGGATCCTTGTATGTTTTTCCTGTAAAATAAAATAAATATTTTAGTGTAGCAGTTAAAGTAAGACAGGAACTCATAGATTTTCAATTCCATCCATCCATCATCTTTACCTGCTTCGTTTTCGGTTTGCGGGGGTCACTAGTGTCCATGTCCATCAGTCACTGTGTGAGAGGCGGGGGACACCCTGGACAAGTCTCCAGTCCATCACAGGGACACATAGAGACAAATGAGACAAACAACCATTCACTCTCTCACTCAGACCTAGAGACAATTTATAGTTACCAATCAGCCTAACATGCATGTTTTTGGTCTGTGGAAGGAAACTGGATTTGCAATTCAGTTTATTTATGCAGCACCAAGTCAAACAAGTCGTCTCAGGGCGCTGAACAACAGATACACAATGGCAGGTCAAGAACCACACGTTAAGATAGAAATAATATCAAATGAAAAATATTCAATTTTAACAATTAATTTAAGGACATGAGGTCAATTTGTCCTGTAGTAGTCTAAACCTATACATAACAAGCCAACCCTAATTATAGGATTTATCAAAAAGGACAGTCTTAAAACTGGACAATGTGTCAGCCTCATGGACAGAAACTGGAAGTTGGTTCCACACGAGAGGAGCCTGATAACTGAAAGATTTTCCTCCCGTTCTGCTTTTGGAAACTCTAGGGACCACGAGTAAGCCTGCAGTCTGAGAGCAAAGTGCTCTGTTTGGAAAATATGGAACAATAAGATCTGTAATGTAAGATGGAGCTAGGTTGTTGAGGGATTTGTAGGTTAGAAGTATGATTTTGAATTCAATTCTGAATTTGACGGAGTCAGTGGAGAGAAGCTAAAACTGGAGAAATATGATCTCTCCCACTAACTCCAGTTAAGACACTGGCAGCAGCATTTTGGATCAACTGAAGACTTTTTAAAGACGTATTTGGACACTCAGATAACAAACCATTACAATAGTCCAGTCTACACATGACAAGTACATGAACCAGTTATTTTTAGATAAGATGTTTCTAATTTTAGCAATATTATGCATATTTAGTATAAAAATAGGCACACAAATGAAGACAAACACTTAAAGAACGAATCAATCGCTACGCGTCTGTTACAGATTTTTAATATTTTAACATCTCCTGTCTCTGTCTTTCAGTATTTATTTACAATAAATGTACATTTACATACAAGTGTGATGCTATTGCTTAGTGTTTTACATCACATTTTTGTTGACAATGTGACAACCAGGCTATATCTTAATTAATTGTGACAATATCCAAATATACTTGAATTCAGATATAACACATTTCTGAACATGTAGAAAATCTAAAACCAATATTGTTCTGTGATTTTAGAACGTATAGCCTGTTTTTTTTCCTGTTATTGAAAATCATTGTTTGAAGACAGGACATAGGTGGAAAAATAACCAGTACATTGTATGGCAAGTACTTAAACTTCATATAAATTCACAATTCTTTATTTTATACATCTTTATATGACACAGTAAAGCTAAATGACACTTTTCTACACATTTTCACGCCCCAGTAAGTCCAGATGTGACCTTATTTTTGTTACATTTTAAGGCTGTTTGCTGAAAGCAGTGAAAGTAGACTCTTCCTCATTAATAATTCAGCCTGTTGTAATAAAATCCGGGTCAGCCTTAGAAACCGTGCAGGCCGACAGTACAGGATGGACACCATGAACACCGACGCACCTGTAGGTATATTTCCTGCAACTTGTAAAAGGCACACAAACACGGATTTATTTGTGTTTCTGACGATCTTTCGCACTGATAGATGTGTGAAGGAGCTGAGGCAGTGAGAGTGGGAGTTGTTCTCACCACAGACCCAGGTAAAGAAAACCCAAAACTCTGTTTTTGTGATCTGAACATGAAATTTAAAAAAAATATGTATTTTTTTTTAATATACAGAGAATACAGACTGTGTAGTTATTGATGTGGAAGGAAGTACAGTTGAATACAAATCAGCAAAAAACGAGGTAAAACAGCAGCTTATGATTGGTTTTAAGTTACGCTGCACAGCTTAAACAAGTTTGTTTTATTAGGATACGTTTGGATTCACATTTGACCAAGTTGTGACAGCAGACAACATGGAGGTAAACATGCCGTAGCTCTTCTCTTTCAGTTTGTTCCATGTTCACTAGAGTTTGAAATGAATGCACGAAACAAAAACTCTGCACTTGAATGTGCAGAATCTTCAGTCCAAGCTGCTGCTGCCTCTTCTTGACTCCATCTCCAACGGATTTAACGGAGCGCTGATGACGTGTGGAGCGACCGAGGCCCCGATGGAGCAAAGAATCATCCGAGAGGTGCAGTCAAAGCCCAGACTGCTACAAACTCTGTCAGGTTTTTAGACCGTCTAACAGTTCGGAGTGTGTTTTAGGTTTTGACGAATCTGTTTGGTCGCAGAACATCACAAGCTGCATCAGACGTCTTCATCTCTGTGTCGTTTCTTCAGGTTGGTCCTCCCTTTGTTAACATTTATTCACAGTTTGATCTAAAGTTTCACAGGATGACTTTCTGTGACAGTTCTACCCAGACGGCAGTGCAGCGGATCTTCTGAGCCTCAACAACGACACTTTACAACTTACAACACATCCTGTTCTCGGGAGGTGGGACGCAGTTACACTTTTTAGTTATGAGTTATATCACACTGATGTTTTTAAGGCTTATTAAGAGACATGTACGATTCATCTAAAACTAATAACAAAGGTCAAAGTTGTTTTTATGGAACATTTATACAAACTCCTTGCCGCCCCAAACTTATATTCATACATTAATAAAATGTGAAAGTAAATATGAAGTAAAATGCAAATAAAACTAGGCAAATATTTTTTCCTGCAAAAAAAAAAACAACAAAAAAACAAGCGACATGAAACGCAGTACAATTTGCTTAAAGTTGAAGCCGCTTGTAAATATGCCTAAGCAGAGGTATTTGAACAGCTGGAATTTAAGCATGTAAGCATAGTAACAGTACTACCCAGTACTTAAACTACTAGTGTAGTAATATTACTACTAATAGTGCTAGTAATAGAGCAACAGCACTGCTATTGTTAGTACTTCTAAACCTGTTATATACACTACTAATAAAATTGCAATACTAGTACTATTACTGTACTAGTACTGTTACTATCACTACTACCAGTAATAATAGTAATAGTAGTAGTAGTATTGGATTAGATAGGTTGTTGTTAAACTTGTGTTGTACATTTGATGAGCTCATTCCTTATTTTATCCATCCTTGTCACTCCTAAAGAGAAGCTCAACATCTTCATTTCTGCCACTTCCAGTTCTACTACCAATAGTACTATTAATAGTAATAGTTCTACAACGGCTACTACCACTACTACTAATTGCACATTATCCTGCAGAAAATTCCCCAATATTTTCCAGTGGAGTAAAAAGCTCAATTAAATATTTATATGTCAAAAACCATAAGTGTCTCAAGAATCAAAAGTCACATCCATCATCTCCTGAATGAGCTGAACAGCTGGACGTTTGGATGACTGCAATAGGATGAAGTAAGCAAGGCGAGATGAACGTAAGAAAGGGCGAGAGGAGGAAGAACAGGATCT